CTCGCTTTAATACTGGTGGAGAGCGGGTTTGGCACCGCGCCAAACGCAGCCGCACTGAACCGCCCCGACAGTACGTAATGATGAGGACTGTATGTAGTCGGACAGAGAAAGGCCGTTTTTTATTTGAGAACATTTTTACTGAGCTGCTTTTTCTCTTTCTCACGCACTATGTATATATCACTTTCAATTTAAACCAGACATTTTTCAGACAATTAGGACAATGAAATCGGACACATCCTTACGCTAGTAGTTGGTAACTAGATCACACTAGATACTGCAACAAGCCCGCCGCAATATGCCATTTTTCAGCGTTATCATTATTTATCAGAATTCGTTTAGTGAATCTGTCGCACTCTGCATTTCACGGACATTTCGTGATGCTCAAGCTCCGTCTCCTTGGCTACGCATACTTATGCGGCTTTTCGCGAAATGTAATATTATTTCAGAATGTTCCCATTTTTGGGTTGTTGCGTGAAATCCGCGCCCATTACGGGGAGCCCCGCCCACGCCGGGGAAGCTTTGCGCTTTTGAAAAATGGTGCAAAGGGTACAGCATCGTTGTATGAAACACACGAGTCGTACTCGCCCACTGGGTCGTATTGTTGTTGGGAAGGGGGGGGGGGTCGTATCTGCCTCTGAGAGAAATTTGGCGCGTTGGGAAAGAATTTTTCGCGGTTGTTGACTACTCACGGTTTTTCCCTTTTCACATTGGCTGTACACCCCCCCCCTGCTCGATGGTAAAAAAAGTAGCGAGCTGGGGGTAGCGAATTTTCGGGAAATTTAAGAGAAAACTGGTAGGAAGCTGGAGCGTGCAGGAAAGTGGTAGATAAATGTTGGGAAGAGGGAGGGGTCGTACCGAGACTCTCCTTCCCGGGGGGAGGGTCGTACTGACACCACTATTTCACACCACGATGCTGCACCCCGATGGTGCACATCGGACGAGTAGAGGTCACGCTTGCATGCTAAAGTCTCCCTCGTCACTCGGAACAAACTTTGCCTGTTCTTTTTGTTCCGATTGAGGAGCGAGACCCTAGCATGCAAACTGTGACCCTATCGTGCTGAATTGCATCATTTTTCAAAAGTGAGTAGAGCTCTCATGGTGGGCAGCGCTTCACGTAGCTCAAAAATGTAATAATTTAAAAAATTTGGAGATTTCGCAAGTGAAAACAGAATTGGGCGTGGCTTGAGGGCGGTGCCTAATATTCCAGGGCATGAATGTGCGTTTACGAGGATTGTTTGAAGAGCGGGACTAAAAACAATGACGCTGAAAAAGTTACGAAAACTCTAAATTTGCGACAATTTCTTTGAAAATAGGCAGAGTCCCATGCACTGATGTGCAGTCCTTTCCAGATAGGGTGTATGTGCGAGTAACAAAAGTGTAAAAAAGTGACAAAAGCAGTGGCTATAAAACAAAATTTGAAAAAAACAGGACCATGCTGAGATGTGGGCGTGGCTGTAGGGGCGGGGCTCGCTTTGGGGTTTAGTTAGGCTTTTTTGATTTGATTTGCTAAGTCGTGAATTTGTTCCGGAAAGTTGTGAATTTGGTTTGAAAAGTCACGATGGACAACATCTCATTTTTCTCTTAGAGCTGCCGTGTTGGGATCGACATGAATTCGTCGGAAGAATTCATTCAACCTACCATGGGGATCTTATGCTTGAATTGAGAACAGGAAACCTTTGCAGTTGGAGTCCCACATATTCAAAATATTGATTATAGAAGATGCTCACTTACTCGGAAAGTGTGCTACTAGGTATTGACTACGCCCCTGAAACAACCATGCAAAATCGACTATGCTTAATGAGCTTTTCCGGTTTATTAAAGGGCAGTATAGCAAGGAAACGTCCAAGAAGCTAATGCCACAAATAGAAGTGGAAAAGTTTGGGTCAAAGACGCCCGTAGCAGCGAGATAGCTGCGTGAGGTAGGCGGAATATTTCTTGGCTCGTGCAGCGTGCAACTCCTTGAATCCATCTCTCTGTGGCCCAGATGGCGAATCTTCATCACGAAGACATCTAGAATGGCATAGAGTTGTTCACCATGGTATTTCTACGAAACTGCTGAGAAAAAAATAGTCTGGAAACTGGTTTCACTCACATGTTGTCTCGCTCGCAATGCGTGCCAAAATCGTGCGCAACTTGATTCAGTTCCAGAGAAGATTTTGTTTTGCACGTTTGCCTCCGCGTACGAATCGGATGTGGCGCGTCGAAGCGCCTAAAGTGGTATATTCAGAAGGTTGTCCGGAAGATGAACCTGCACGAAATTCTCGACAACCTGATAAAATACTACTGCTGTTACGGCCACTGACACTACTTTCTTTACTATTTCCAATTCACTTACCAGTTCCTCGAATGCTCCTCCTTCCTTGCTATGTGTTGCTGTGGATCACTCCTACCTAGAAAAACTGATAACAATAATAGTTGAAGTGCTTGCAAAGCTTCATATTATCTAAAAAAAGTTTTTTTTTGGTTTACTTCAGGATTTTCACGTGCTTGCCTGGTGGAGAAAAGTCCTTTGAGGTAAGGTTACTGTGGTGCTATTCGCTAGTTACATTTGGCGTTAACGATGGGGGACTATCAAGAATGGGCTATTCTCATCACTCACTCTGAGCGCGAGGCGACTGGGGCCACAGCTACAGTAGATCGCCAGTTCCTCTCTTCTGAAGTGCACGGGCAAGGGGTGTAAGGCTACCCAATTGTCGCAGTGCAACCCTTGCGTCTACACTAGGTGCCGCAGCGGAACACGCACTCAGTAGTAAAGGACAACCAGAAGTGGGAGAGCATAGACAAGAAGCGCGTTTGGCTATGGCTACTGACTGGCCATGCAGCAGTGCAGGCAGAGTATGTAGGTAGTGGGCGGGTTTCACCATCCTCCAGCCCGTTCTCGTGATTACTGGAAGTTGAAGTTTGAAGCACGTTCTACGACTGTAGGCCCGTAGGTAACGGGCAAGAAACGCAAAAGTGTATTTGCTGATGGACTCAGCCTTTGAAGACATTTCTCGCGACCGATTTGTACGGGTAGTAGTGCTCATTCATGAACTAGTAGCCCCTAAGTAACTTCTCTGTAAAGAAAAAAGTGAAAAAAATCTTGAGAACACTCTGAACATAGACCTTCTTCGTCACTGACAACTGAAATTTTTGGTGGGGGTCCTGCTGCAAAAATTTACGCAGAGTAACAAAGAATTGCGGCTGCCACAGCATCGAAGGTATAAAAAACATACCACGAGCCAAGGGATGATTTTCTCCAGAGAGGGGGGTCGATGAAGCACTCACTATGCGTGAAAAGTTGGCGAGTGAAAGGTCAGAGCGGTCACAGAACGCCATGAAGACGTGAGGGCGCAGAGAAAAACAGAAAGTTGGCGTCATCAAAGAGATTGAGTTGAAGTTGTCCGTGGGCTCCTCCGCAGCAGTGAGTGCCTTGGACGAGTTTGTGGATGTCGGTAAGCCCATTCGGCTGTATTACACCTACAACCGACTCCCGGCAAGAGCACAGGAAACCCTATGACGCTCCGTTACCTAACGCTACGCACACACGCGATTCCGCTTGTAAGCAGTTGTCCGCGTCTAACTTTTTTTTTGTCTGGCATATTCTCTACAAATACGGACAACGGTACTAAATGCACGGAGGCGTTTCGCGCGACCACATTCATGCGAAGTTTACCGAACAAGTATGTGAGTAAGGCGGAGGTTGTGTAGTAACAAGTGGCGCGCTTACCACTAGCGCTGTCGTGGGTTAAAATCCTGGGTGGGCTGCCGCCCAGACCGACCAAACCTTCTACCCGGGGACGGTAAATCGGTACCAGATTCGTCTGGGAGGATGAAACACCGGCTTGTACA